GATATATATATATATGAATATATATCTAAAAACTTAAAATATAAAATAAAAACATTGATTAGATTTTAGACATGATTATTATTCATGTACGTTTACCAAAAACATTAAACTATTAACTAAACTGTCTTTGGATTGAAATAAATTAAATATTTGAGATTTATTTTTAATCTTATTTATTTTTCACTATTCAAAATATTTAATTTTTTTTTATTTTGCTAAGGTATAAAAAATAACTGATAATATTAGTTGCTTAACAGCTTATTTATTTGAGATTTATAACTATTTATTCTATGTAATTTATTATTATTTTTTAATTGTACTTAATTATGGTTCTAAAAATTACATCTAATTACAATAATATATTTTAATATAAGAATTTAATTACATTTAAGTATTAATTATAGCACAAAATAATATGTTATATAAATAAAATTATAAAAAGCATAAAAAAATAATCAAATAAAATATTATTTTAAAAAAACTAAAATCTAAATTTGTATGTAAAACTAAATATTGTTTTTTGTGTATGAAAAAATTAAAATTATGTCAATACTAATTACAAGGTTGCAATGGACATTTATACTAGTGAAGTGAATAGAAGTGAATAGAATTAAGTATAAACAAGTTAAAATACATGAAGTAGATGTTTATATATATATATATATATATATATGTATGTCAATTGCCTACAAGTGTAAGTTTTTTTTATCTTTCTTTTAGAAGACTCTAATTTTTGTTTTTGTTGTTGTGGCTATTTTTCGATTTTTAATTGTCATTATTATATTGAAATAAATAATATACCATTATAATTTTAGTAATTTAGTTATATATTATAGTATATCTCTTTAAAATAATCGTTTACATTTACTTGGTATTGCAATTGAAAATAAAAATATTTTTTTTAATATTATATTATAGAAAAAATTGTATACTAATTTCATGTGTATGTATCTACATGTATATATCCTAAAATTATGATTTTTTATAAGTAAAATTAGTTAAAATAGCAATAAATATTGAATTTATTTTTTATGATTTTCGTTTTATTTACCTTACTCAATTGTACATATTTGGAAAATATCAATTTTTCATCTGTTATAGTAAAAATAGATTTTATACAATGATGGTTTGTTTTTTTACAGTTTTTATATTTTTTTTACTTAAAAAAATAAATTTAGTTCCTAAGCTTCTATCAACTAAGATTCTATTTATTGTCATATCTCTTACTTAGACAGTGATATTAGAAAATATTAACCTATTTTTTAAAAAAAATCTAATTTAATGCTAGCATTTTCAATTTTCTTAAAAATTTAGTCATAGAATCAAATATACTTTAAGTTTTTTTCTGATTCTTGTTTTTGTTATTGATTTTGATTTTTGGAACATTCGGCTTCTGAAAAGCACTTATTTAACTACGGGTGGTCTAGACATTATGTTCCAATTAATTTTGTGAAAAAAATAAAATAAAAAATAGATTGATATGAAAATTGCTTTTATAAAAATATTGTAAAGAAGTGTAATTAGTTGTGATAATAATCTTTTTAATTCTTTGACAAAGATGACATGGCTTTAACTTGGAGTGTTGCTGTATTCAAGTAAGACCCTTAGAAAGAAAAACCATCAATACCTTGTATATATTCTGCCATGGTTTCGTAGAACAGTTTTAAAGCATTATGATTTCAAATTAAACAGTATAGATATTATACTCTCTCTTTTCTTTTCTATACATATACACTTATATATATATATATATATATATATATATATTGTTATGCATAGTTGAAAAATCCACTAAGAAATTGTATTAAAATATTATAATATGCACATGTGTGAAGTTCAACATGTGTTATTAGATTTGAAAGAGTTGGTAACTAACGAAAGAACCATAATATTGCTTAAATTGCTTTGGTTGTTCTATATAAAAAAAAACCATGATTAAAGTAGAATCTATCAAGATGGTCCAAAATTAGATTTTGACTTCTTTTGCAACTACCCTTGCAAAGTATTATTGCACAAGAAGTTCATCTCATGATGTTTTTTTTTTTTTTTTTTTTTTTTTTTTTAAAATTATTTCTATTCAAATAGTTTAAATTTTTTATTTGAATAGTTTTATACAACAATTTTATGTACAATCTGTGTGTAATTTGTTTTATGGTTGTAAAAATACCAAAATATGACACAATAAAAAAGAAATAATTTCCATTTATAAAATTTTAAAATTTATTTCCTGCAGCTAGCTTCATGTACGATGTGTTGCAAATTATACATACATACATACATACATACATACATTGTATATATATGTCACGGAATCATGGCATTGGCAAGAATTTTTGGCTAATTAGACTCCCACTAATCCTTCCTTTCCCAATTCTCAGATAAAATGAAGAGGAATGAAACCCAACAAGAACAAACCAGGGCATTGATGTTTTTAATTTATTTTAATTAATTAATTTCTGTATTGTATTGGGCAATCACATGGAGACTAGAATCTACCCCTTAATAAAGTTCTATGGACAAAGCATCTCATCCATTATTAATGGGGGATGATTGGCTTCCAAGTACACCCACAACAATACCAAAGGGCTCTAATTCTAATTCTAAAATTACACCCTTTTGCATGGAATAATGTGCCGCTTAAGCAAATCAAGAGAGGGTGATTATTCATTCCCTGTTTACCAATCTCCATCCCCAGATATACATAAACATATATATTTATATATATATATATATATACAACTATTGGTAAGGAAGAAGAATATTAATACCCTATTAAGTCCTGCACACTAATTAATGCTAAGGGGCGACAACAAAGTCGGATCCCTGGAGGATTTTGGCGCCAGACGGGGATCAGGCGGGGAGTTAGTAGGGAAAGAGCGGACGTGACGCCGCGTGGCCCGAGGCGAGCGCCACGTCAGATAACCGCGGGAAGGCGGAGAAATCGGGCGGACGAGGGAGAGGTGAGAAAGAGCGGGGGACATGGCAAGCGGAGACGGGATGCGGAGATGGGGCGGGGGAACGGTCGATGGTTCCGTCTCCGGTCCCCGTCCCCCAGATTCAGATGCCAGGTAGGCAGATAGACAGTGCCACGTCGTCACGAGGAGGGGCCCAGTCAGCAAGCAAGTCAGCCGGTCGGTCGGTCGGACGGTCGGTCGGTCAGTGAATCTGCCTGGCCCCTCAATCGTCGGCACAAACCAGGGCTGCCGAATCTCCCATGATCCTGGCCCTCCGCCCACTCGCCACATTCTTCCGACGTACTGCGGAATTAGCTACTTTTATAAATATTATTAATAATATTATTATTGTGCTCTACTGATTGATTTTCGTCTCTTATTTTTTTTAATATTGTGATTAGAATATGAATATGATCATCCGACCCCACACCATCTGATTTGTGGACTCATTCCTGGTGGTGATGGTGATGATCATGCGGCGATGAAGTAAGAAAGTAAGTAAGAAAGACTTGCCGGCGCAGAACGAGTGAGTGACCAACGGCGTTGTCACACTAGTGTGTGTGTGTGTGTGTGTGTGCAGAGAGAGTGTGTTGTTGCAGTTACCGTGGTCAGGTTGTTGTAGACATGGAGGGTTTGCGACTGGTCAGTTGTGGGTGCAGATTACGGGGGAGGAGTGTGGGGGTGGAGTGTGTGAGTGTGGGGGGGGGGGTCGAGCCAGCAAACCCATTCTCCGGACGGTGGAATCTGATTGCGCTGATACAAACAATCCGCGGGGGAAAAGTCCAAGATACGGCACTAGATGCTGTCGTCACTTTCGTATGGTGTGGTTCCCAAGCTTCCGCAGCAGGTATCTTTTCTGTGAGCTCATAAAAGTGGGGCACCCACTGCTTGCACTGGTCCCACTGCATAATTCTGCCCTCCGCGATTTATGCAAAGCTGCACAACGGGGGAGGAGTGCGCAGGATGACAATGCATGGGGGGCGTGGCGAGCTCATGGAGTGGTGGAAATACTTTGAGAGAGGAAAACAAAAATAAAACGAGGGAGAGAAAAACCGTGATATGGACATGAATATCTGCGGCTTTTCCGCCACCCTGGAAGCTGACGAAGCAGGGAGTCCCTCTTTTCGGGATTACCAAATGATTAAAGTAAATTAAAAAACAGGACATCAGGGGGGGAGGAGTAGTTTAATATGAGGAGGAAAAAGGGTAGGTAGTGCTGCAGTGGACTGGCGCTGGTCTGGACATCATCACTTCAGAAGTGGTCTCTGATCAGTTAAGATGGCGTGAGGAGCGTTCGGCGAGTAGTCGCGGAGTAGTGGCACCGTTAGCAGAATGGGAATTACTGCTACTTCGCAAGCGCGGGTGTGCGTAAACACAAAGGGATCGGTGCCGTCGACAGTGGTGGGATGCGCGGGGATTCGGGACGGCTGATCGAGGGCGGAATGGGGGAGGAAAAGGGGCGAGGAATCACGAGGACGGGGGGGGACAGTTAACTCGGAGTGGACGTCTGCTTTGACTGGCGACGTGCGAGGGATCAGTTTGCAGGAGCGGGGAGCAGGGGCAGGGTGCCAGCACGCCGAGGACGGACCGACTGACCGGGCAATCCAATCGCCGTCGTGGGAGTTACGCTGGAGAGATGGGGGCAGCATTGAATCGTGCGCCATTGCATGATGCACGAGGCTGGGCAGGGACTCATGGAACTGGGACTGGGAATGGGACTCGGGAGTGTTTGGCAGTGGGTGGGACAAACGGATCGGAGGAGGAGGGTGGTGTATGTCCAGCAGGGACGGACGGCGTTTCGGAAACCGAGCCCTGCAGCCCGCAGGAGCAGCGTTGGGCAGGCCGAGGAGGGGGGGAAGCGAGAGAAGCGAAGGGTCTCTACAGGTGGGTGGGGCGGCCGTGACGTTGCGAGTTGTACGAGGTTGACAGGCACGGCGACTGACTGGTCACCCCACTAGTCTACGTCTACTGGTGTGTCCGCCGGGGCCGGAACTTTAGGGTACGAATTGCGGGTGCCAGGGACTTGGTGCGTAACGTGTGAGCCTTAGGTGTCGTGGGTAGATTGCAACGGACGTGCAAGAGGCAGCGGGAACAGCTGCGGCTACGAGTGTGCGGTCTATTCTACCTGGCCGGCTCTGTCTCGATCGAGGTCTGGGTGGTTGTTGACCATGGTTAGGCATAGCGCGGACCCCTGTTGCAAAGGTTGCAGTTTGAAGATATCATGATGCATCATATCGTTTTGAGCGATCGTGGCGATCGTGTCTGAGGAGATGGGTAAGTGGACGAGAGCAGGGGAAACACGAGATTTTTGCAGGGTTGTCCGTCTGGTGTGATGGTTGAGCGTCCCCCACAAAGTACTCAGACGATGGAGCAGCCGCGCGGGCGTGGTTCCTCGATAGCTGCTAGTGGTGCCGCGCACTTCCGGGCCCTTGCATAGCAATTTTAGTGACGCGCGTGTAAATTTGGTGCGGTTGCTGGGAGTCGATTAGGAGTTGAGGAGCCGGCAGGGATTAAGAAGATTATGGGGGCCAAAACTAACAGTAGGCAAGGGTTGGCAGAGGTCGATATCGTATTGGATGTTAGTCGCGGTGCCAAAAGGGGACAGGGTACAATTGCCTCAGAAATGGTGGGTTCCGATGACGATGACGCTGTGCATTCGCTGAGGGTCTCATCGTCGGACTCCGCGGATAGCAGCGACGCTAAGCCTCGTGACATGAATATGGACGTATCAGACTATCAAGACAAGGACGAAGTCATGGTGGACGTGCAGGGGGTAGGGGAAGATAGATCATCAAATGAAGAAGAAGCAGCACGCCATGATATTTCCAACGGACATGCGATTAAGAACACGGTAGCGTCAAAATTAGGTGGAGAGCAGGTATTAGACGCGGAGGCCATGAAAGACTCTGGTGGGTTTAGTAGTGACTGCGTTGTGCTAAACGGTTCGCCGCATGGCACAGACCGGGCAGCGAAAAATGGCGGGACTCGGAAGAGAAAGTCTAAGACCATCCACTACATGAATTCTAAAGTACCGCATGCTGTCCCTATATTGGACAGCGAGGAAGGCTCCGATGGTCAAGACAGTCCTGAGGAAGGAGACGATGTTCTCGTGCGTCCTAGCCAAGCCCCGCGTGCAGCGGCCACTAAGGTTGGGTCGCGAGCTTTATATTTTGTATTTTTTAATTGTTGTTGTCGTTGTTTAGTTTGGTTTCGTTTTGTGTGGTTTGTTTGTTTGTTTGTTTGTTTGTGTTAACCTGTTTACTTCTTCTTCTTCTTCTTCTTCTTCTTCTTCTCTCTCTCTCTCTCTCTCTCTCTCTCCCAGGGTTAATAAGCTGGTTATGTGTAGTAACTTTTGATGTGCGTGAGGGACCTTTTGGGCATCTCTCAGGCATGATCACCGACAGTCTTTTAAGACAGTGTTAAGGTTACGCATTCTTCTCCGGAATAGCGTATTTGGGTGCTTCAACTCTTAGTGCAGTAGGCTATTCCGTACTCGTAACTACCAGCTCACCTCGTTGCCCCTGCCAATAACATGGGAAAGTAGTCCTGTGTTGTGAGAAGCTACCGTTGAGCTTAATTAGTATTGCGAACGGAGAGCAGGTAGTGAGTGTAACACCTGTACTTTTAAACCCAATTGCCGTCTACGTATGATTATACCAACTTAGTCAACCCGTATTTGTGATGGTGGAAAGCAGCTGAAGTCTATGGTACCAGTTGGAGACAAGTTGGTGAGGGCCCCACGGAACGCGAAGGAGCTGATGGCAACTAGGCTCATGGAGGGGCATTTTGTGCGGTGCTCTTGTCGTGGCATACAAGTATGTGCTCATACTGTGTCTTGTATTTGTCTGAGCCATGGTGAGGTGAATTTTGTGGCATGTATTCCTTTGGTGACTGATGTTACCAGAAATCGCAGACACGGGGAATGCAGTATAAGTACCAAGTTTTCAGTATTTGGTGTCTTATGAACGGCATTCAGTCCAGGTGGTAGTGGTTGTTTGCTTTGCTTGGGTTTGTTCTTGTTCTTGTTCTCTTCCTTCAGAGGAAATAGTCTTTCAGAACCAATTAAGACTATTTTTTCTGGTGAAATTTATTTTGGAGGCAATCGTAGTGTTTTAAGCTTCATAACTGCTGCAATATAAATACGGCCATAGGCCTCAAATGCCTTTTAGCTGCTAAATGATGCTTTTAATAGGTGCAAGTACTGCTTGGATTAAATTCTCTGTCTGAGCATCTGTTCAAGTTCGGTCGCATAGTCGTGGAACAGTCACGGTTGTTCTTATCACTCTTGGTACAGTAAACTGCTATGAGCTTAATTTTGTAACATGTGCATTAATGACTGTTCAAACAGCTCACAGGAATGCTGAAAGACATGGGTGTTCAGTGCAACTGTCGGAATTGCAAAGGTTCTGTGGTATGTTGACAGCAAAACTCTGATGCTTCGTAAGTGATTAAAGTTCAGCTCAACAAATTTCCCAACGTAGTCCTCATAATCGAATAATGAAATTTGGCTACCTTGTTGATTGTGGATACTTGGAGAGTTTATGCAGATAGTTTCTATATCAGCGTTTGAGGCACATTCAGGAAGCACTTCTCATCACCCTAGTGACAACATCTACCTTGAGAATGGGAAGAATCTTCGGGACATTCTGAGCGCTGGCCAAGAAGCAGCAGATTGTGGGGACAACATACTGAGAGCTCTAAAGATGGCTATAGGAGATATTCAAGGCGTTGAAAAGAGGAAGGTTACTTGCGCAAAATGCGAGAGTTCACAAGAGGGTGACCTAATCTATTGCAAGGGAGCAAGATGCTCTGTAGTCGCACATTCCCGTACGTGTAATAAAGCCCTTGAAGTACATTTGATTGAGGAGAACGTGGGAAGAAAGTCTTATCCAGGCTGTAGAAATTCGGTCGGTTCAGTAGCTATACACGTGCATTTATCTTGTGTCAAATATTTAATGTATCTGTGCATTGTAAACTTGCAGGGTGTGTTGGAATTGCGAACCCACAACTTGGCGATTGGTTTTGTGGCAAGTGTGAGAAAACGAAGAAGCATCATGCTGCAGCGAAAGTGAAACGTTCCATCTCCGGTGGAGCAGACCCTGAGGACGGGAAAGTGAGGTGAGGGTGCAGTACGATGCTTTGAAGTGGATTAGCAGTGGAGTGCTTGCGTTCCACAAAATTTATCCTGCCTAGTCCATTAGAAAAAGCTTTTCATGTTCTGTATCGTGAGAGACAAGGTTTCGGATTCTACTTTAATTTCGGTGGAAGTAAATGTGGCCTGTTGAGCCATGAGAATCGGGCATGGCTTCCTTTCTTCTGCCAGTACACGTTCCATTGGGTTCCTTACTACTGGATTTTTGTTTGTTTCTAGGCTCCTCAGGGATCTACAGGGATATGCTTCACCTAGTGCTTCAAAGTATACATATTGTAAGATTTAGGTATGCATCATACTTGAAGTTGTAATTCACTGGGTTCGGTGAACTTTGCAGGGATAAAGCGGCAACAGCATCGGTCAGGTTGAATCGAGATGCGCATTTGCACAAAGCTCTTTTCTTGCCCGGTGGATTGGTGGACGGCACAGAACTTGGCTATTACACGAAATCCCAGGTACTTGGTGTTGTCTCTTCAAGTTGCAATTATATGAGCTCCTCAGTTGTGTATGTTCCGACTGTATCACGCAGTCCAGTCTGTGGAGAACATGATGTAAACATCAGCTATTCGACACAGGATATTATCCTTTACTTCATCGGAGTGTTCGATTAGTGTCGAAATACTGTCTCGAATAATGTCCATGGTAAACACTCCAAAGTGGGTGAGCGAATGGTTGAATTGGAAGAAAGTGTCTTGTTCTTATTCGAAGGATGTTTTCTGTGGCAGTTGAAACTGAAAGGTGTGAAACGAGGTGAAGGTATATGCTGCAGCTGCTGCAACGAAGAGGTTAGTTTCGTTGTGCTTCAAGTGGTTACTCAAAGCTTCTCATGCTAAGAGCTATCCATCAGGATGTCCATGTCATATACACAGCTTATTCGTGCCTTAATTTAGCTGCTTATTCTACTATGCTTCTGAATGTTTGCAAAATCAGTTGAGGGAAGTTAAGCCGGGTTCATGAATCTCGTCTCGTTTCGAAGACCAGACACGTTCAAGGAGGTAGTAGAGGCGGTCTCATGTTCCCCAGTCAGCAAGATGGAACGTATTATGTATTTAGTCAAGTGAAGGAAATTCATGTGACAACGTTTAATGAAGAAATGAAGTTTTTATCTAATGACCTTGATGATATTCAACAGATAAGCTGCTATGAGTTCGAACAACATGCTGGTTGTGAGGCTCGTCGTAACCCGTATGTGCTCATCCTTCTTCATTGCTCACATGATGTGGTAGTCATTGATCAGTGGATGGGTTAGTCTTACAACACACAATATTCAGAATCACCATTCCCATTTCAGGTGGTTTAGAAATTTTGGCAATAAGGTTTGGAATGTTCATATTTATATGACTGCGAGAATCTGATCCACTGATACAGTATATTTATAGTTGTGTGCGCTACAGTTATACGGCTTGATTTTTAATTTGTAGTTCATTGAGTCATGAACAAGTTTCTGAGGAGGCGACGACCGTTTTGTTAAATTTGATGAGGGAGAGGGAGTAGTCATTTCTTCGGGTCTTACTTGGCCACATGCTGAACATGGTTGCAGCTGTTGTTGAGTATTTTAATGAGCCTACTCCTGAACAGATGATTTTGAACATATCTTGATGCGAGTAGTGGATATTATCACGTCGTTGCAAAGTATGCTGAAACCAGTAATGAATATGACAGTTACGGAAACATCTTGTTGGTGCCGGATGGTCGTTCCCTGAAAGATGTTTGCAAGGATTTGGCACACAAGAACAAGCTGGACGAGAAAGAAAAGCGTGCTGCACGTGGTGGAGAGGTGAACTGCTGCTATGAATGCAGTGGTAGTGGAGATCTGAAGCGTTGCCATGGTTGTGAAGAATCATGGTGCGATAAATGTACCAAAGGTGGGGACAAGTGATCTAGCAAGGATGTTTTATGTGTTTATGCCATGAATCTATCTTAACAAGTAGATGTAGGTGCTTGTCAATGGAGCGAAGTTGGTGTTTTACAGTAGTGTTTTTGGCTCGAGATTGTAGTGAAGAGGAACTGTGATGCTTGCACAGTCTCGATTCTCGCTTGAGCTGGAGCAAGATTCTGTCTTTAACAACTCTACTGTTGCCATTGTAAGCCTCATTGGTATGCTTTCAGACTGTTAATATGCCAAAAGAATTGAAGTCTATTCATGTTCTCAATCGGCTTTTTTGCTTTGTATTGATTTTTACGTTGTGAGCAACGATGGTGCAGGGATAGAGAAGGATTCCGAGGGGAGGTGGTACTGCCGAATGTGCCGACAGGATAGTCTCAAAGTTGCACAGAATGGACAGAAGGGTTCTGAGAAGATCATGGAGGGAATGTCTAATATTGCAGAAACAAACGAGCAAGGTCGTTGCATACGCCATTTGGATGGACCTAGAGAAGTTGGGGGTTGTGCAATCTGCAAGTAAGTGGCGGTTTATCTAGTGCAGATATTGTTGGCTTTGGAACTGTTGACATCTTTATGAAAATGTTTTCTCAGGCTAGGTGGTCACAAAGAGTTCAACGCTGTAGTGTGTGGCGTGGGTTAAATGCTTTTGGTTGGCGGATCGCCGAATATCCTTTGTTTGATTCAATGGCCTCATTATTCGTCTTCATTGTTACACTGACAGGAAATGGAATCTGAGCAAGACAGGTTTTGTTGATGGCATGACGATTCTTGTTTGTGATCAAGTGAGGAGCCTGGACCTAATGCTACCTGACGCTGGGTTTTGTTGCCACATCATGATGTTTAGTTATTTGTTGTAGGATTCCCCGGGTATCCATGAGGAGAAGCGTAGGAAACTGTCAAATTCTGCACAACTCAGGATTTTCATGTCAGAGTTTACTTGCTGGTCGGGGAGTTTTGACAAATGAGCTGTGTTGTTTACTCAACTTTTATTGCTGTTAACAGTGTGGACGAGAATATCACGTTAGCTGTTTAAAAGATTCAGGCGTGGACGATCTCAATGTGAGTGCCACCACCCAAATTCTGTAGCGATATATGTGAAAAAAATATAAATGAAGTTTTTACATGCGATCCGAAAAGCTTTCGATTCAATTCTGGATAACGCTGAAAATCGTTGAATTCACTGACCCAAGTTTCCCCATGAAACGACATTGTTTCACTTGACAGGAGCTGCCAGACGGAGAATGGTTCTGCCACAAGGATTGCAAGGTCATAGATGAAATCTTGGCACAACTAGTAGCGAACGGGCCGGAGCTGCTGTCTAATAGCACTATAAGTGGGTTGTTGGAAAGTCGGCAGCAGCTGAGCAGTGCGAAGGAGAAGATCGAGTCCAGTAATCCGAGGTTTGAATGGCAAATTTTGTGCGGCAAGGGTAGCAGCCCTGCTGATGTTCAGACCCTCGCTGAAGCTGAGAATATTTTTACAGTACGTGTTACGAGTTATTTTCCTCTTTTCGACTGCCTTAAGTATATAGATGCATTTCAATGTGTTTGTTGAACAGTTTCTGTGGTATTTGGCTTGCAAATTTGTGGCTTGGCGTCGGTAACTTCTCATCGTCGAGGTATAATGCTGTTTTGTTCACAGGATTGCTCAGATCCAATCAGGGACGTGAAAACTGGAAAGAATTTGATTCCACTCATGGTTCAGAGGTATGCCTTGCTTGAAAGTTATAGAGTTGAGGTGGTACAGGATGTTGTGTTGAGCAGTACTGGTATCGGGAAAAGTGCGTTTCTGTGACTTGAGTACCGTGGTATCTGTGGAGTGCCACGAAAATGTTGATCCATTGATTGTAATCTTTTTTCTCGTGTGCAGTCGAAGGACAAAAGACCACGATTTCGAAGGTGTTTTCTGCGTCGTTCTCAAGCTCAAGTAAGCACCTATTAATGAATTGTTCTCTGGATTAACTGTGGAGAAATTCTTGCAAATCCGTTTAATTGGGAGTGCTTTCATGGCGATAGTTACAAACCTGAGTCAAATGGAGTGGGCATTGGTATTCTCCGTCCGTCATTGAGGTTCTGCTGTGGTCGATTCAAGATCAGGTTAGCATGATATTCATATTTAAGTTTGTTTTTACGTGGATTGTAGTGGGAAGGTGGTGTCGGCAGCTCTTCTGCAAATCTTTGGTCGGGAAATTGCGGAAGTTCCTTTAATAGCTACTAGCCTTTCACATCATGGCCAGGTAATGTGTCTCCTATCTACTTCTGCTAGTTTGTAGCAGGTAGTTGGTGACTTGTATCCGGGGAACAGGGTGTTGCCATTCAGCTGAGATGGTGTGTATGGTTGGATTTTGGAGATGTGTTTTAGAAATTATGATACTGGAACTATGGATGGGACAAGACGGGCATTGCTACCTGCAATTCTGCTCGTTTGGATGGTTCGAGATTCGCATGAGCCAACACAGTGACTGAGCGGTTGTTTAAGTCAATTTGATCAATTGCACCAGTGAAGAGGCGATTAGTGGTGCACGTATGATTCAGGTTTAGTCTGGTGTGGTCCTTTTTGCTCGACTTACACCACATTGTGATTGACAGCCATTCTGTAAAGCACTCATGACAACAATTGAGAGGCTTCTTGGGGTGCTGAGTGTGGAGCGGTTGGTGCTCCCCACGGCGAAGAGTACAGAATCTGTTTGGATCAACAAGTTTGGCTTCAGCCGGGTTCAAGAGGACCAGGTAAAAGAGTCCCCATCATTACTAAAAACACACACACAGACACACACACACACATATACATACATATATTTTATGCGTCGTGTAGGGAAAGAAGATTAATGTTGGTTGTTTTCTGTAATGTTTTGCACGAGTCTTGTGTAATTTGTGGGCTTGATTGGTGCAGCTGAAAAGCATTTGCACGACTATACGTTTGACGACGTTCACGGGCACGTCTATGGTGGTGAAAGCGATCACTCCAATGACTGTATAGGAGAAAGTGGCTGAACATGTCAACGGTAGAAGGAAGAAGATATATGCATGAGCGCTCGCAAATTTCCATTTTCTGTACAGACAGAGGATTTATAGACAGTCTTGATGGTTGTACTTGTGCTTACCATGTTGGGGTCTTCCTATGGGTGCACTATCACAGGACTGCCAGCTCTCCCAGTTTTGGGTACATTGATGTGGAGATTTTGCTGGAGTTGAACATGGAGAAATTAGAATATATGTTTATATCACTGCCACCTTTTCGAAACTCAAGTACAGCTCGTGTAGTGATTTGTAAAGAGCTTAATTTTTCACCAAGTGTGCAAATTGGTTGAACTCACAAGTACCAATAGGTCTCTATTCAGGCCCCGCAACCCTCATTTCTCTCCCAGGGCTCATCCTTGTGATGCCAATTACAGACGACTGGATAAATTTCGGGATGACAAGGAACCTAATTGTACCTTAACTGTATAATGTGGCTGTCAGAGGTGGTTTTTTTATATTCTTTTCGGATGGTTGATTCATTTCAGATCTTTCTCTTGATTCACATGGCAGTTTTTTTCAACTTCTTTGTTTAGTAAAGTGGATAGTTACATATATTTGTTTTACATATATTGGTTTCAACCAGTGCACCCACCTCAAAGAAAGAAACCAGTCATCTACGTCAAACTAGATTTTGCATGTTCTGGAAACATCCTAGTGGTCGAACTGCATCGTCTGAGGGATTCGTGATCAAACCTCCAGATTCTGTACAACAGGAGCAGCAGAGTGTCTGCAGGGTCTTTGGTCTATTACTGAAGCGGGAGTCTCAGAAGTTAATAAACATTCCTGGCTACTCTACATGTTATCTTAGACGTTGACATTGCCATTGACGTTCGACAAGCAGCCTCAAGCACTGTGTGTTTAGTGTGTTGTAAGCAAGCTCTGACGGCTCTAAAGCTGGACAAGTTTCTCAAGAATTGTGGTTTAAGCTAAACACTCGGCGGCTCGTAATTATCCAAGCATCCCCCTAGTTCTTCATACCGACCAAGTATCCTTGTTGCTTCCTCCCCACGCCACTTTCATGGGGTCAAATTCCGTTGAACTACTGGTGATCCAGGTGGACACCGCTGGTTTTAGCTTATTATTCCATCCCAATGCACTCTCCCATAAGCGTACACTGAATAGTTTACTTATCAAATGGGACTTTCCCTGCGAACTTTTCCGATGCAATCTTTCACCTCAGGATTGCTTGATGAGAATACTGCCTGCCTGCCTGGTTACTTCTGCCATTGCCAACTCTCTCTCAATGCTTACTATGAGTTGTCAAATGCTCATGCAACATGAAACCAAAACTCATAACTGAGATGGGGTAGGTTTGCAAACTGATTGATCTTGCAACTTGGTGAGTGTGTTCGTGTGTATGTGTGTGTGTGTGTATACTTTTGTTGTGCTGGTTGGGGAATTTTAGTAGTGGATGTGAATATGCTCTTGGACATAACCATGACATTGAAATACAAAATTCATGTCTGTGTGTGGATGTAGATTGCAATGTACGTGACAAAATGAAGTCCCGTTGCCAAGGTCAATATTGGATTGTAATTATACTGTGCACATGGATTGGGATTGTGTCTGTATTTGTTGCAGATAAAGTTAGTGATGAAAAAGTGGCTTGGGTTTGATGTTTGCCATATTTTGGTTGGAAAACTTGAGACGATTTAGAATTTTGTGAGGTTTTTGTTGAAGCACAAAATAGGAAGGAGTGTAAAATTTCGAAACACACGAGATAGTGCAATTCAATGCTCCTAAGGTCATACACTTTGGTAACAAGTCCTTATCAACAAGTAACATTGTGCAGATAGAGATTTTAACTGTTGCAATGTGAAGTTTGGAAGTGTGATTTTTAAAGCAAGTAATAATATGTATTCTTAATAAGAAAAATAGAGATAATATAGATTCTTTTGAAGATATATATATTTCTTGTTTTCTGAAATTTCATTAAAATTTATTAAATTTATTTCTACCAAATTAATTTTGTGAATGGCTCTTACCATAATCTACATTAGAAACTAAATACTGATTCTCTTTTATTATTTAAAGCACACAACAAACAACCATATATTTATTAATAATTCTGATCTTCAGTAATCTTAATTTTTCATTGATAAACGAATTTTGTTTTTACTGTAAAAATATTAAAAAGAACCTTGTAACAATACTTTTGAAAGCATATATATATATATATATATATAGATATATATTTTTACATACTTGTTGAGTAATACTTTATTCATGTCATTTGAAATTCAATTTTTTTAAGGATAAAAAGATAAACTAAAATAAAAAATTACTCCAAATATTTTCTTAAATGAATGGTTTTCAAATTATTTGCAAATTACAATGAAACATTAATTATCACTCTTAGCCATTATCACTTTATTCTTGGACAGATTCAACATTTGTTTTAAGGTGTTTTGGGCAAATAACTTGTACTGAATATTGGTTGATTTCTATGTGTATTGTTTAAATAGCTGATTGTGTTGTGGTTTATTGCCTCTAAAAATTCTAAAATTAGTTATAAAATTAAATAAGGTCATAACATATGTATATATATATATATATATATATATACATACATACATATACACACATACACACTGAAAAAAAAAAAAAAAAAAAGGGCTCTAAGCTTGAATGTAAAGGTCAAGTAGTTTTATTCTTTTTGATTTGGTGCATCATATCTTCACTAATTTTGCATCTTGCACATAAATGCAGTTTACTAATTAATAAGTAAAATTTAAAATAAAACATTAGTTTAATAAATTTTGCAAAATATTTTATATGAACTTATAATTTTCTTACAATTAAGAAATCTTATAATTAGTGAGTCAATTATAATTAGTGAGTCAATTAATTAGATGCGTAAGTTTTTCTTGCAAAAGCGGGTGTCTGTTTCAGGGAGAAACCAGTAAGGGTGGTGTTAGTGGTGGTGGTGGTGGTGGTTCAGTTACCTTGGAGTTTTTTTCTTTCAAAAATGCATCGCAACGCAGTGTATGGGCACGCCGAATGGGGTTGCACAAATCATCGTGGAGGCATGGTCGCCACATCCAGACGGCTTTCTCCACTGGCGTGATCTCTTCCATCATCCCACGAGTGTTCTTCTGCACACTCATCTCTGTGCTCGTCACCATATTCAACCATGCAGTGATGGAAGGTGTGCTGCCTCACTGGGTTCCTTCACTGCGCGTGCCTACGCTTCCCATGTCCCTCACCGCTCCCGTTCTCTCCTTGTTACTCGTCTTCCGCACTAATTCCTCTTACAACAGGTTGGATGAGGCAAGGAAAGCATGGGGCTCGAATGTGAACCGGACCCGAGATGTGTCCAGGCAAGCGCTCTCATGGATCTGCGACCCCGACGATGCAGACAAACTGCAGAGTCTGCTGCGTCATATTAAGGCATTCTCTTACTGCCTCAAGGATCACTTGACGCAGGAGAATTTGCTGCAAGAAGAGCTGGCGAGAGTGCTCGAGCCGAGAGAGGTGGAACTTGTGCTCAAGTCCAGCCATCGTCCCAACTACGTGCTGCATGTGATGTCGGACACTATCAAACACTGCAGGATATCGAAATGGGAAAGCAAGAGCATGGACAGGAATATCACCCAGTTTCACGATAATGTGGGTGCCTGTGAGCGGCTCTTCAAGACTCCCATTCCAGTGGCTTACACGAGGATGATCTCCAGGTTTCTCTCGATCTGGCACTTCCTTCTTCCTTTAGCGCTTTGGAACTCTTGCCGCTGGCTCACCATCCCTGTCACATTCGTGAGTGGGGTGGGGCTTTTTTGCATTGAGGAAGTGGGTGTGCTGATCGAGGACCCTTCTACATCCTTGCTCTGTTGTCAATCAGCGATGGCATTTCCTCAGCTGTGGATGGCCTCTGCTCGGCTCATGAAGGAGCTCTGAAGATGTGGAGCTCTGCTATGTGTCCGGGAATGTGCAAAATGATCCAGGATCAAGACGAAGTGGTTGTGATCGCTGGCACGGAGGAGTCAAGGGATTCAGTTGCATCATCGGCAGATTATTATGATCGTGAGAAAATATGACACGGCGAAGTGGTACTCTAGAATCACTGGTTCATGCTGAAAGTGAACTCTCAACATTTAAGAACTTCTCAGGATTTTGAAAAATTAGTTACTGAGAATATCTGTGTACGTCGGTAGTTTTTCTTTCTTTCTTTTATCTTCTTCTTCTTCTTTAAATTAGCAAAAAAAAAAAAATTAAAGAATGCTCACAAGGATGGTACTGATATCTTATAAAGCTTTCACCTAATTACCTGGTTGAACTAACTCGCAAACAAAACAGCAGTTGTAAAGTATTTGAAGTTAACTACACCAACGATGCCATTATGGATCGTTCTAATCCTGTATTCTATAACTTTATATAAAGATCGCAAGTTAATGTGAAGTATCACTTCATGGCTATTGCACATTGCCTCTCCTTGTGGCTGCTATTGTGTGAGTCAGTGCTGCGATATTCGTTGTATTCGATGGGATCATGCCTTATCATGTCCGTGAGTCCTAGGCACTACGAATGGTTACAGAGTCAAAAAGTTTCATTATTAAAAAAAAAAACACTTGAAAGAGAGAGTGCTTTTTATTAATTTGATGAAACTCTTCGTTCCTTACTTTGATCATACCACCAAGCGTTTTGAGTGTTGAATCTTAAGAAGTTTGACCCTTGTTGAGTAACTTGATGCGGCTTCAGTGGGTACTCACCGAGCTACCAGTTGACGTCTTTGGAGACTACACTTGAGCCCAGTTTGTTGATGTGGGGCATCGGGTATTGCTCTTCTTTTCAGCTCATAGGAGGCTTTAAATTGTGAATTGATGAAGAGCTCTTAATAAACATCATTATAATTCTCCTAAATTACTTACAACGTCGCATGATTTAAGGATGGTATTTTTAGTGGAAATACCAGGGGAGTGAGGGGTTTGGATTAATGGAGACGAGGTGAATGCCTACGCAAGAAAAAGAAACATAACATCCTCGTCAAATGCCAAAGCATTATGTCGTTTAAAACCACAGTTTAACGGAATCTTGGATGTCCCTGTTTCCGTTCAATGTCGTTGGTCTTACGTTGTTCATTGGGTCATGTGCTGAATAACTTGTCTAGTTTTTACAAATGTAATCCAAATCTCGAAACATTTGCAGGCTTGATAATACAACAGACGGTATTACACCAGACATAAGACGTGGGGGGGAAAGGGGGGGGGGATGGAAAAAATATAAAAATACAAAGGAAAAAAAGGACAGAAATTACTTGCTGCTCCTTCACGGTGTGAGCAATTCATTTGGAACCGTGCAAAGTAGTTAAAAAACTTGTATGGTGAAAACTATCTTTCAAATGCATGCCTATCAAGGCAATCGCAGCAGGAATTAAACTAATCGTATTGCCTGAATAAATATCTCGAGCCTCATTAGTGTCGGACGATAGCAAAAAACGTGAAGGTCCACAGTTTCAAACTGTGTGCGAATTCCATTACCAAAAAATGAGGACGAAGTGCACAATTGAGATAGTTGTGAGCACCTTACGTAAAATTCCTCTATCACAGAGTAGAATATTCTAGTTTGGGACCAGCCTGGTTCTAGAAGACGTACAATTGCATAATATGTCTCCTCATGTCGGCCACTTCCATGCCCATTCTATCAATGTAGACAACTGTTTTTTAATTTGTGTCCTTCCATAAGAAAACCTTTGTTTACAAAACGTGGTGCAAATGCCTGCTGGTCGCAGATTGATTCTATAAATGCAACCAATTGCTTGAAATCAAGACGTGCAGTTGTTCAAGGGTGTGGTTGCCATATTACGAAGATACATAATAATTCCACTCTGTAGCTTCCTGCATATACAGAGAGATCTGTCTCATGGATAAACTCCACCTCGTAGCACAAGATCGTAGAGTAAAGAGACGCTTATGCTGCTTCGAAGTGTCTTAGCAGTTATTTTAGAGTCTGTGCCGCTAATCTCATGAGCAGTATGGAATCCAAACTAAGAACCATGCAAAAAACCGCAGTAGCGTGTTTCCTCACATGCAAAGCGTGTTTATGTTCAAGGGAATGTATTGCATATCAAAGCAGAGTCCCGGTGGCGGATTTATCCAAAGCGGCCAGCAGGCAAAAAAACAGTCCGTGCACATAATATTTGTTTGTGTTTTTGGGAGTTGTAGCTGTCTCTCTGCGCGATTACCTGAAGAACTATTCCTTGTGGGGTGGTTGTACACCTGGTTGTAGTGGGCGCGTGCCGAAAGATCTCCACCTCCTTGTGGTGCACGCAACGTTTCATACTTACCAAACAGTGGATTTATGTTGCACAGCACAATGTGCAATCAATCCAAAACCAGCTGGGGCTCCCAAACTAGCGGAATACAACATCTGAATGATCTATCTTGTCGGTGTTATTGGACCACCCACTAATCCCACACACTAATCGGACGTGTGTCATGGCGTTTTACAACCTTCACAAAAGAGGGTCTCATTTAGTTCGTACACTACTACTATTACTTTTAACTAGTGCTTATAGAATAGGCCGGTTGACCCCAACAACAGAGAGATAATCCCTCCTCATTCATGCAGGGAAACTGATTTGGTAGCCTGGGTACGGTTCCGTTCACCCCCCTCCCCCCCTTTTGCGATTGATTCCCTTGCATTAATATATATATATATATATATATATATATCGCTGCTTCATTTACGCTACTTTTGAAATTCTTCAGCATTGCTGAGCTTACCTTCTTCAATTCCACCATCGCTGCGTTGATTCTTAGCTTCGCTGGGGACGCACACTCCTCATGAAGTTGTACTTCGTGATGAGAAATTCATCATCTTCCCTCCTGCACAACTTTTTCAGCATCTAATTCTTCAACGATCTTATCAGCAGCTAAAACCCAATCCCCGGAATTTCAACCGTGGAGGGAGGGGTTTACCTCGGTTGAAATTTGCAACAACGTGTGAGTGAATTGTTGTTCGTGATCCTTGACCTACTTCCTTCAAAACCTAGATTACGAATTCAGCTAAAATTATCAAAAATTAATACAAAACCGCCTTTACAATGAACATCTCGTTCCAAAACCTATCCAACCTAGGCCGATCTGTGCCTTTGCAAAACTACGTAAGGAAGGATAGCTTTTGGCCTATGCAAACAAGCTCTTTTGAGCTGTCTGCTATAACGTTGAATGTTCAATTTCTACACTTCAACGGGGAGTAACTTGTACGCAAAAATGTGACTCTTCACCTATGATGTAATGGAAAAAAATATTATATATTCTGGTATGAATAAGTTGTAATTGCCGTTCGAAAGGCTTGACGCAGTCTGCAATGAGCTTTCTCCGCGTTGTTCAATGAAATCTGTTATGATACGCAAGGATATAAAAGGCTTGACAAACTCAAACGCCGAAAGCAACACACACAGTGAAATCGGTGAAGAATTTGCCCTTCCCTCTCTTCGAATCCAACTGCGACAACCTGAAAGGCATGGAGCCAAGACCGCTTCAGTTGTGCCCCCCTCGCCACAAGAGAGTCGTGCCATAACGTATCATCACAATCCACTTTTCACCAGGACTATTGCTCACATCTTTTGCGAAAATGAAGACAAATGTTGTTTTCCAGTCTTACTCACTGCATGGCTTATTGCCAAAGGGTGTGATCAATCTCTTCACAGGATACCACCAGCTTCGTCGGTGGCTGTGTCTCCTCGCTCACTGAAACTGCCGACCACCCCTCGTTATCAATTTTTTCCGGGTTTGCTAGCCACAATTCTCAGCCTCTCATTTCCATTTGGAAGAAACGCAGTGGAGAAAAATATCACTTGTGGTTGCGGACAATCTTAGGGCCGATGAAGGTCTGTGAGCCTCCACCACCATATCCACGACCTCAGCAAGATGCTGCTTCCACAGCGCCTTGTCAAATCCTTTACCGACAGATAACGATGATTCCTGGATTGATTTGACGGTGGTGATATCTGCACACCGATGCAGGCAGTTTCCACAATGGCTTTCTATTCACAAAGGTTAGACCCACCCACACGAGGGCAAGGCCTGGCTGTCTTCACGTCTGCACAACGAAAGTGAGTGTGTTAGAACTGGGTTCGGCAATCTGTGTGTTTTGCATATTGTGCACGCACTGATATCAGTCGTTCAAAGTGTGAAAAAATTGGGGGTGAGGGTTATAATTTAGAATTGCAGCCAGTGCATCGACTTGGAGGTGCTCTTTGCGTTATTATGGAGATGCACAAGCCCTCCGTTTTCCGACTCTCCGAAGCACGTTCGCAGCCTCTTGGTAACCATTCTAGTGTGCACATCTATCTATCAATCGATATATATATATATATATATATATATAAATATATGTCTATCTGTGAGTCAGTCTGTACGTATATATATATATATATATATCTTTGTGTGTGTGTGTATGGATTTGTGAGTAGACCATCAATAGGCCGATACTTGTTTTCTATTCATTAGATCAGTAACTGGGACTTTGTCACTGCATTGCTTGGATCTTAAGTCTACACTGTGAAAATGGGTGCGAATTGATCACCATGATATAGTGTTGCTTCTGCTAAATAATTAGTACAGTTGCGTTGAAAGGATTTTGGTTTTGGTTATGAGAATATATGGCATTATGGCTGTTCCTTAGAGAGACATTGATCTGACTTTGAATAATTTGGCTGTGTTTAGATGCGTGATTTGATTTTGCTTGTTTCACTATATATAAAAATATGTATATTTAGTTCTTTTAAAAAAAATGACAGATATTCTTGAGTACGTAGTGAATGAAATAAAGTTTTGAATTTTGAGTGTTTCTTGTTTTTATTTCATTATTGAGATTAAAAAGCAGACATCATTTTTTTTTTATTGATTATATCAGATGCAGATTGTTTAGAAAACACTCTTATAGAAGTTTTCAAAAATATTCAACTAAGATGGTAAAATGATTTTCAAAATTTAACTGTGTTTCCTATATATACTTTTTTCTTTCTTAAACAAAAAAAACCCGGAATAATCAGTGTAGAATTTTTTAATTTAATTTAATTAAAAACCAAATACATAATATGTAATCTTAAATTTTATTTAAAAACTAAAAATATATTTAGTAAAAATTACGTTGTTAACTATTATTCTTTTCCAGCAATGACTAAGATTTTTTTATTTTTAAAATATCCATTCAGTGTATGGATCATCATTTAAAAGCACAAAACAATTTGTGAGAACAATTTGTAGATTGCAGTTGATTGAAGTTTCAACTCCTTTTGACATCACTAAAGATTCGACTTGTAATCCAAAGTGACTACATCATTATCGTTACATAAACTACTCTTAAAAATTAAACTTGTATAAGATTTCAGCAGAATAACTTAATGAAATAAATGACAAATTCAAATTTTCACTTTAAGTGAAAAATCATTTTAAAATTCTAGTATTTACTCATTTATTTTGAATATGTGATTGTAAAAGGATCTAATTTTCCATGGTAAAATTTCATTACCAAAATTAATAATATGGATTTTGGGATGTAAGCATCCAATTTTATCTCAAAAGTATGTACTGGACTAGCTTTTATAATTAATCTATATGAATATATGCTTCATATAATTTTATCATTATTAATTTTGGATAGAAAAGTCAAAAAATAAAAAATAAAACAAAGGAAGTTGTGAAAAAAGTCCTTAAAATATTAAAATACTAAAACATGTTCGTTTGTATTGCATATATTAGAATCTCAAAATACAAAAATAAGTAACAAATAGAACCAATATTATTTCAAATCACCAGATTGTTAATATATATATATATATATATATAAAAGATATATGTATGTGCAATTGTGTTTATTACCCATTTATAAGTTAGTAAAAAACTACCAACATTAAACATCTATTATAAAATTTCGTTACCTTAAATAATGCATATGAAAACTGACTTGAATTCCCCTTTTGCAGTTTGGATAGGTGAAAAAAACAAACAGGTCTGTATGGTTAGTAATCAGACGTCTGTGTACTTGAAGGAATGACAAAATGGATCTATTAGCAAATAATTACGTTTTTTACTATTAATATCCTGTATATAATGATTTCAACATGTTATTAAAATCAAACTAACCAGATAATGAAACAACTTTTGAGGGACAAAAATCATAAATTATACAAGTTCTAAAGTAACACACAACAACCAATTAATTTTAATAATAAATTTATAAGAAGAAGAATTTATGAACTAAAAATAATCCAAATTTTACCAAAAAATAAATCATGGTAAATACATAAATTAATAAAAATAAAATTTATTATTATGATGTTTTATTTTTAAAAACTTTCATCTTGAAGTTTGAATTAAATTGTTTTATTCTACATGTAGAATAATTAAATATATATATATATATATATATATATATATATATTTAAATATTTCTACAGTTATTTTTTATCTTTGAGAATTTATGACCTATCTGAAAAATAATAGTATATGAAATTTCTTGACATAAATGGAATTGTTATTAAGAGCTAAAATTAATCTTTCCTATTTTATGTATACATGAATTTAAGGAAGCAATTAATATTGAACTCTAATGAATAAACATAGATAAACATAGATTATATATATATATGTTTTTTTCCTTTATCAAATAGATAACATAATGTTTAAACTAATCTATATTTTGTAAAAACCAAATTATATTAATGTAAACAAATAAGTTAGAATAAAATATTTATTCATAAATAAAAAAAATTATATAATATATTTATATTATATATAAATAATATATATATATATATATGAATATATATGAATATATATAAATATATATGAATATATATAAATATATATGAATATACATAAATATATATGAATATATAAAAATATATATAAATATATAAAAATATATATGAATATATATCAAGATATATCAATATATATCAATATATATAAATATATATAAATATATATAAATATATATAAATATATATAAATATATATAAATATATATAAATATATATAAATATATATAAATATATATAAATATATATAAATATATATAAATATATATAAATATATATAAATATATATAAATATATATAAATATATATAAATATATATAAATATATATAAATATATATAAATATATATAAATATATATAAATATATATAAATATATATAAATATATATAAATATATATAAATATATATAAATATATATAAATATATATAAATATATATAAATATATATAAATATATATAAATATATATAAAGATATATCAATATATATCAATATATATAAATATATATCAATATATATCAATATATAGAAATATATATAAATATATATCAATATATAGAAATATATATAAATATATATCAATATATATAAATATATATATATATATATATATAAATATATATATATATATATATAAATATATATAAATATATATAAATATACATAAATATATATAAATATATATAAATATATATATATATAAATATATATAAATATATATAAATATATATAAATATATATAAATATATATAAATATATATCAATATATATAAATATATATCAATATATATAAATATATATCAATATATATAAATATATATCAATATATATAAATATATATCAATATATATAAGTATATATCAATATATATAAATATATATCAATATA